GAAGAAGTGCAGCCAGAGTGCTCTCATACTTCAGACATATTGTCAGAAGGGACCAGTCGCTGGAGAAGGATATCATGTTTGGTAAGGTAGAGGGACAGGGAAAGTGAGGAAGACCCCCAGAGAGATGGATTGGTAAGTGACAGCATCAATGGGCTCAAGTGTCGCGAAGATTGTGAGATTGGTGCAGGACTGGGCAGTGTTTTGTTCTGTTGTGCATGAGGTCACTATGTGTCAGTACCAACTCAATGGCACCTAACATATGGGATCAAAGTTCCAATCGTAGCTTGTAAGATTAGATAGGAACCTGAGGAGGCAATGTTAGTGTGGGAGGAACAACTCCAAGGCCGTCATTGGTGTCACTGAGTCATGCCGAGCAACAGTCGAATTGGTGTATATTTTGTACTGTCTATTCCCAACAACAACAAAATAAATTGGGGGGGGGGGAACCCAACTTGCACACAAATGCTCATAGCAGTATTATTTGAAATAGCTTAAAAGTAGAAAGAAGTCAAATGACCAAAAAGCTGATGAATGAATAAAGAAAATGTGGGTGGGGCAAACAGACGGAGCAGGTGTGGGGAGTGGGGCGGTGAGAGGGGTCAGAGGGCCCCAAGGTGGGCGTCAGTGGAAGTGGAGGAGTCAGGAGGCCATCCCAGTTTGGTTAGAGGAGAAGAGGAAGGGCAGGTGTGCTGAGTCTGACCTACTCCGTTCCTTCTGAGCAGCAGCCCCAGGCTTTGCACTCGGTACGGAAGCCAGAGAGGTCCCCACGTGACTCCATCACACACACATAGAGTCTCAGTCTCCCAGAGATTCTGTTGTACAAATATTTGTCTACGATGTAACCAGTGTGGTTTTCCTCATTTCAGAACATGATGAACAATGTAGGCTCCTTGCCTCACAGAAGTATAGAGTTCTAGGGAAAATGGAACCGTCCCCAAAGTGGCTCCAGGTTAGAGATCAAAGCTGAGAGGCAGGCATCAGACTGCCATGTGATAGAAGGAGCAGGAAGAAGAATCTGGTGCTGGGCCAGGCGGTGACGTTAGACAGGATCCCGTGTCTTCCTTTACAGTCTTGGTTCCCCTCCAGAGTGTGAGGGGTCCCAGGATAGAGGCATGGGAGGGGGCCCTTCACACACCACCAGACTCTGACCTGCCCATGGGTCCCAGTCCATAGGTTTTCTGTACCATGGCCCAATGTAGGTGTCGTTACCATCCTCTGGGGTCAGAGCCACCCTGGCACAACAACAAAGACTCACCTGGGGTTAGGGTGGGCACTGGTCTTCTCAGAGCCTGTAGATGTTTGTGGGGTCTCTCTTCACCAAGTAACTCTAGACATCAAACCTACTGAAATTCCAATGCTTTTGTAGGATATAAAGCTACTATTACTGCTACCAAGGAGTTCTGGTGGCTGGGTCAGTGCGCTGCTAACCTGAAGATTGGTGGTTCGAACCCACCAGCAGCTCTACTCAGAAAGATGTGATAGTCTGCTTATGTAAAGATTTCCTGTTTGGAGACCTTGTAAGGCAGCCCTGCCCTGGCCTACAGGATAGATCTGAGTCCGAATCTATTCGGTGGCAATGGGCTTTTTTTTTTTTTTTTTTTTTAAGGTTTTTATTGTGGATTGAGTGAAAGTTTACAGGGCACATCATCAGTTTCACATTCAACCATTCATATGACTTGTTTCATTACATTGATTATAATCCCCTCCATACATCATAAGTTAACAGTGTTTCTCTCTATCCTCTTTAGCTTCTTTTTTTTGGGGGGGGAGTTGTTTTGTTTTTGACTACTACCATCCACTGCATGGAGTCTTCATATGATGCTGTAGGATAAGCATTGGACTACACACTGCAAGGTCAGTGGTTCAAACTCACCAGCTGCTCTTCAGAAACCCCATAGAGGGTTGCTATGAGTTGGAACTGACTCAACGGCACTTAACAACGACAGTCACATCCTTTTCAGTGAGTCGATTCTAACTCATAGCGCCCTTATAGAGTACAGTAGAATTGCCCCACAGGGTTCCCAAGGCTGAAATCATTATGGCGGCAGACGATTACAGCTTTCTCCCACAGACTGGCTGGTGTGTTCAAACCACCAACCTTTAGGTTAGCATCCAAGTGCTTAACCACTGTGCCACCAGGGGCCCTTGATATAATACTAAAGGAGTATATTTTAGCATAATGGTCACCGATGGGAGTTTCTACCAGGCTCTCATGGTGCCTGTGCCTGTCCTGGTGAACTATGGGCAAGGTGGACTGGGAAAAAGTCACAGGTCCCTGGGGGAGAAGACTGAACCTTGATTTGTAGCATGATTTCTGTGCTGTAAATACTATCACCATGGCCAATGCCCTGTTACCACGTCATACTTCTAACTGGTCTCTGGAAGAAGTATCATACATTATATAGCCACCAGATGCAATGGATGCATTCATCACCAGCAAGAATAAAAGGAATAGTGTCAATTAGGGAGTGAGGTGTTTTCACTATTTACCACCCTTGCCCTTAATGTAACTTCTATAACTGTAAGTTTCTTACATTTTTAAGGAAGGCTGTGTTGGACAAACGTGCTTGCAAGAACCTACACTTTATTGCACTTTACAGACAGTGCCTTTAAAAACAAAACAAAAAAATGGAAGGTTCATGGCAACCCTGAGCATGGCAAGGAGTCTATTGACACCATTTTTTCTCAACAGCATGTGTTCATTTTGTGCCTCTCTGTGTTACATTTTGTCAATTCTCAAAAAAGTTTAAACTATTTCACAATGCTATGACAGCTTAATAGACTGCAGTATGGAGTATGCATCACTTTTATAGGCACCAGGAAACCAAAAACAATGGTGTGACTAACTTTATTGTGGTCTTTGCTTGTTTGAGGAGTTCTGGAACGGAACTCACATTGAATCCCAGGTGTGTCTGAACTCAATGACAGCACATGCCCCAGGCCAAACACATCCATCAGAAGACCCTGAGTCAAGTCCACTGTACCTGGCACAAAAGACACTGGGCTCCAGCTGCCCAGACTGGGAATTGGCTGGTGCCTGGATCTCCTGTCTCTCACCCTCAGACTCACCTGCCAGAGCCCAGTTGGCCATTATCCACCTGCCTGGCACCTGCACTGGATGCTGACTCGGCCCTTCGGTTGGGTGCATGGCTCTCCTGCGCCACCTGGTGGTGCTACCGGCCCACCGACCTGACCCAGCACTCCACCGCCCCAGTTCCGTTAAAGTCTCGTTCCTAGGGCAGAGAAAAAGGCCATACGCTCCTCCCATGGGGTTGGGGACAGGGAACGATGGAGGGTCCATGACCAAGGGGAAGTCTAGTGATGGCAGATGTCTGTGACGGTGGCTGGTTTCTGGGTGTTAGTCTCAAGGGTAAAGAAGATTCCGGAGGAGTTTGGCGTGAGCAAGTGTCCCGTTTGGGACTCCTTTCTGCACCCACTGGGCCCAGCGTTTGGAGCAGACATCATTTGAATGAAAGAATACATGAACTGATGAATGCATAGCCTCAGGAGCACGTGTGATGATTCTCAACCATCTGATTGGCTGCTTTCTTCCCTTGATGTCATTTCAAATCCAGTACGTGCTAACTCCAGAAGGTCTCTTCCTCTGCGTCTGCTCAGACACCTCCCGCCCCATTCGCGTGCATTTCACGGCGTTGTCTTTGCTTCTCAAGGGACCATCGAGGCTTTTCTTCCCCTTCCCCAGCCTGGGAAGGCAAAGGTGTGTGTGTGCGGATGACAGGGACGATGGGAATTCCATAAACGCAGTCCTGGGACTCTGAAGTCTTCTGGGCCCACACCCTCAGGGGGACTGAACAGTTCTGGACACAGCCCTAGGCCGAGTCTCAGTGCCCTTGTCCTGGGGTTCCTCTGCTCCTCTGCCCTGCCCGGATCTTGCCTGCACTAGTCAAACCTCTACAATCTGGCTCATCTTGGTTTCTTGGTCCTCAGATTGGCTCAGCAGGCAAGTAAGACAATGCCAGGACAGTTTGCCAAAGCTCCCATTCCCACCGTACCTAATGCAGGGCCTCGGGGTCTGGCTTTTCTTCCACCGCCCAGAAAGCTTATTGCCTTCTTGGAACCCCCTCCATCCCTTTGCTCTCTCTGAGCTCCTGGGATCACTTACCTGTCCACCCATGTATCCCTGGAGACCTCAAACAAATAGTGGGACCCCTAGTGGCCCCATCATGTGCACAGAGATATTAGGGGCCCCATGGAGCCGGCTCCTTCCCAGGTTCTCCTCTGTACCACAGTCTGGATATGATGTCAAAGGCCAGAAGACACTGATTCCTGGGGAAATGGAGGTGGTGGTGGTGGTTATGTGCCGTGGAGTCGGTTCCGACTCATAGTGACCCTGTACAGGGTTTCCGGGGCTGTAAATCTTTATGGGAGCAGAAAGCCTCATCTTTCTCCTGCGGAACAGCTGGTAGTTTTGAACTGCTGACCTTGTGGTTCACAACCCAATTCGTAACCACTACGCTACCAGAGCTCCTTGGGGAAATGGAGGTAGTCATCTTCAATCTGCAAGTACTAGAAATATTACTAGAAAATATTACCCAACTAGCATTTTTGCCTTTCTTTTCTTCCTCATCCTGCTTTGGTCAGGGTCAGAACATTCCAAGGACTCTGGGAGGATGGTCTTTTTATTCCCTGGAAGGTTCTAGAAGCCACAGGGCCAAGCCGCCTGTTCTCTGTCATTCCTTCCAACAGCTCACCCTATTGTGTGCTTAATTTGAGACAAGCCGGTTCAAGCTCACCAGTTGCTTCTTGAAAAGGGTTGCTATGGGTCGACAGCACTTAATAACAACAACAAATGCTTGGGTAAACCTCTAGGAAACACTGACCAATGGACACTTGCTTTGGAAAAAGGTTCTTTATTCAGTTTGCCCCACCATAAGGCAAAACTCTGATTTATTCTGTAGGCCTAATAACTCATTTATAAGAGGTCAGAGGACATTCCATCTAGAGAAAGCTCTGATGCGAATAGTGTTTGGCTCATCATTGCATGAAGGTGTGTAGATGTTGGCACTTTGTGTCGCAGCTTGTGGGTCTGGGGAAGACCTGGTTACCCGACATCCTTCACCTCATCCCATCTCTCCCCACCACCTGCTTGTGCCAGGCAGACAGAGTTGAATGCCATTGGGTGCCAAGTTCTGCACTTGGAAGTGACTCTTCCTTCCTCCATCCAGTGTCTGAGAGCACTGGCCTTGTGACTTTCTGACTTCACATTTTGTACCTCATAGGTTGACCACCAGCAGTATGTGTCCTCCAGTCCAGCAGGAAAGCCACCACAACCAGGACCACGACCAAGAAGACCTCCGTGGAGGTGGCAGTGCTGGGACAGTGTCCCTGAGGGGCCACCTGCTTCACCCCACCAGCCACAGGCAGGTCTGGGGAGGAGAGAAGTGCATTGATGGATCAGGATGTGGAAGGAGCAAGGAGAGAGACAGTACAGCATGGTGGTCTAGTGTTGGGGGGTAGCAGTGGGACTGCTTTGTCTGCTGGGTGGGTCCGGAGAGAGAAAAGGGGAGTCCTGATAGGGAAACTGAGGCCAGACTTTAAAGAGTCAAGTCAGCCAAGCCAGGGGGTACTGTAAAGCAGAAACCAGAACTGGATTCTGGCAGATGACAAGAGAGAGATTTGGGGCATTTTTGGCCAGGTGGAAAATTATTATAAGAAGCCCAGGCAAGAGTTGCCTAAGACTGAACTACTTTGAGGGGGCGGAGGGAATGGATTGAAGAAGGATGAGTGAGGGTCTTGTCACCCTTCTTTGCTGTCATTGCCTCTTGAACTCCTCCCATGGGACAGACCACACTTACAGGCAGAGCACGGAGATACTGGGGTTCGGTTCCAGACCACCAAAATAAAACAGCTAACACAATGAAGCGAGTCACATAACTTTCTCTAAAGGTGATGCTCACACTAGACTGCAGTCTATTGGAGGAATCCTGGTGGCACAGTAGGTTAAGCATCGGGCTGCTAATAGAAATGTCAGTGGTTCAAACCCACCATTCACTCTATAGGAGAAAGCTGCTGCTGTCTACATCTTGTCAGATTTACAGCCTCAGTGGGGGCAGTTCTCTTCTGGCCTGCTGAGTCACCAGAAGTCAGAATGGACTCAAAGCAAGTGGGTGAGTAGTTTGGTAAGTGTACAATTGTTGTTGTTGTTTGGTGCCATCGAGTCAGTACTGACCAATGCACAGCAGAACAAAACACTGTCAGATCCTGGGGCAACCTTACTACTGTTGCCATGCTTGAGTCCATTGATGCTGCCATTTGGCCAATCCAGCTCACTGGGGGTCTTCCTCTTTTTCTCTGACCCTCCACCTTACCAAACATGATATCCTTCTCCAGCGACTAGTCCCTCCTGACAATATGTCCAAAGTATGAGAGACGAAGTTTGGCCATCTTGGCCTCCAAGGAGCACTCTGGCTGCACTTCTTCTAAAACGGATCTATTGGTTCTTTTGGCAGCCCATAGTATTAGGGAAACGTTTGATAGATTTGCTCAGCAAGTCAATTGGCAACGTTTTCCCAGTAGCATGAGCTCACTTCATGTAGCTGTGTCCCATGTTGGTCATTCTCACACTATTTCAAATGTTTGCAAACACACATACCCACAAGAGGGAGTCAAAAATTATTCTCACTCCAGTAATATTAAAATGCCCATTCATGGCTGATGACAACATTGAGCATGTACATGAAATGATTCTGTTGAATAGACCAGTGAGCATGGATTATGTTGCAAATCATTTGCAAATCAGCCACAGCTCTGCCTATGAATAATCCACAACAGACTTGGGTTTTGAAATGTTTGTGCAAGATGGGTACTGAAGCAACTCACAAAAAAAGCATAAACAGAATTGTTTGGATGTCTGCAAACAAAATTGGGACCAATATTTGAAGGAAGGTAAAAGTAAACAGCACAGTATGAAATGGAAACATCATGAAATCGCCAACCACGAAAAAGTTTAAAAGTCAACTGTCAGCTGGAAAATTGATGCTTACAGTTTTCTGGGATTCTCAAGGGTCAGTATTAGAACATTGTCAGGAAAAAGGTTCAGCAACCAACAGTGGGATGCTCACTGAAGAGCTGAAGCCTAAACTTCAGATTAAACTCAGAGGACTGCTACCCGAGGGTGTTGTGATCTTGTATGCCAGTGCACACCTCTGCCCACACTGTTGACACTGTGAAAACTTAATTTTGAGGTGTTAAAGCATGCTTCCTATAGTCCTGATCTTGCTCCATCGGACTGTCACCTGTTTGGTCCCCTGAAAGCAGACCTTGGAGGACAAAGATTCACCTCTGATGAAGACATGAAGGTAACAGTGCATTTGTAGCTTGCAGCTCAGCTGAAAATACTCTTAAATAAGGGACTACGAAAGCTTGTTGACAGGTGGGCAAAGTATATTGAAAAGCAAGGCGGTTATGTTGAAAAATGATGTATTTGTCTTTTCTAAAATTGATTAAAATCAATTCTACAGCCAGAGTGTGGATAATTTTTTATTCACCCTTGTGTGTGTGTGTGTGTGTGTGTGTGTGGTTGATTATGTGCTGTGGAGTCAGTTCCAACTTATAATGACCCTGTATAGGGTTTCCAAGACTATAAATCTTAACGGGAGCAGAAATCTCATATTTCTCCTGAAAAACAGCTGGTAGTTTCGGACTGCTGACCTTGAGGTTACCAGCCAACCTTGTAATCACTACGCTACCAGTGTGGTGCTGTAGGATAAGCACTGGATTGCAAGGTCAGTTTGAACTATTCACAAGGGTCAGTATTGGAACCATCTTCTCGGAAACCCTATACAGGGTCGTTATGGGTCGGAACCGACTTGACAGTACTGAACAACTAAACAATGGACATATGTGAGAGTCCCAATATAGTGAGGTACGCCTGTAGCTTTTCTTTTTTCAAATCCATCTCTTCCCACTGGAATTAAGCTCAAGAGCAGAGGATGTTTATCCAGTTCTGTTGATTTGTTTGTTCCCTGACACATTATCAGCACCAGTTGTCATAGAGCTGATTCTGACCCATGTGTGTCACTGTAGAAATGTGTTCCACGGAGTATTCAGTGGCTGATTTTTCTGAAGTAGATTGCCAGGTCGTTCTCCCTAGGGGCCTCAGGGTAGATTAGAACCACCACCCTTTGGATCTGCAATTGAGTGCATTAACCATTTGTGCCAGCCTTGCATATTCTAGGCCTTCAATAAATATGCACTGAATGATAGCCCAGTGAAGGAGGAGGTCTGAGTCAACTGGGGTTGGAGACATTTCTATACGGAGCAGGAGGGAGAGACAGCTGTCCAACACAGCTCCACAGAGGGCAGGCATGTTTTACTAGCTTAGCCAGACTATGGTTTGGTCCTAAGAAGACGTCAGGGGAAATTTTGAGGTGACATTTTAAAGGCTATCTCTGGGTAGTCATTTTATCCATCTCCAGAAAATATGGAGTCCATGAGAATTTGAAATACTTCAAGAACCTCTCAACAGTCGTTGGCGGTAACTATTAACATCTTTATTCCATGGAGCAGAGTTTGGAGTCCTGGGAGTTCTGTACACTGGATAAGGATACCAGGGCCATCTGCTTCCCAAGTCAGAACACTCTTGACTAAACCCCCTACAAGGATCCCATTGATCATAAGCCCCCAGGGAAGACAGGAACCAGGCCAGGCCCAGCACACGGTAGGTGCTCAATGCGGGTGGAAACACGAAACGCACAGGGTTCACGGGGCTGGCTTCTGGTGAACAGTGGCCTCAGGCTCCCTTAGCCGGAGTGGCCCCAGGACGACGTCCATCTTCTCCTGGTAGGATCCCACATCCCTTTTGGACCTGACCACACAGCCCCTGGAGCACCTGGAGGAGTAGTCATATGCCCGGCACACCGCCATTTGACACTTCAGGTACACGGAGGTGTAGCTGTTCAGAAAGTGGAAGGAGCGGAATTTGACGCGGACAATGCGTGGCGACGGCTGGATGAAAGATTGGTAGGTTTTGTCTTTCACACACCTGGAAGAAGAGATCAGGAGCCTGTTAGTTCTCACTAATGCATTGGGCAGGGTGCTGCCCAGTCGGTCCACTACCCCCATCACCTGCGCATCTCAGGCCTCGGAAGGTGTGGTACCTTCATTATTAGACATGAGGGCCATCCTGTTGATTCTGAGATAGCAGTCACGTCTCTAAACAGTAAATCTCCCAACCAGAGAAGACGCCTCAAATTGCACAATGGGCTGAACCAATCCCACCAGGACAATGGGGACCCCAAGCTCCATAGCCCAGGTCATCCAGGTGAGTCGAGGACTCAAAGAGAAAGCAGGGAGGAAGGTGACATTTGGCATTGCTCTGGGTTCCTTTGCTGCCCCATCCTAATGCAGTGACTGAAGCACTTGGCAGTTTGAACCCACCAG